TTCTGTCGCTCACCTGTGAGACTCATGTGTTTTTGCATGATGGGGGAGTTGATTTGTTCCCTGCTTTCTCTCCGTGCTTTGTCTCTCTGCCTAGACCTGGGATAAGTTGCATCATGAGGGCTGGAGTAGCACAGAAATGGAAGTCACCTTTTCCCCACTCATGGAGTATCTTTTCCTTGTAAAAACCACTCCCTTTGATTTCTCATAAAGCTTGCCTGCGCCCTGCTCTCTCCAGCACGACGTCTACTTTAAAAGGAATCTCTTGGGGACTTGTGTATTTGCCTTGGATGCTGTCAGCATAAAAGAATTTTCTCGAACACTTCTTCATTTGGAGAAGGTGAAAGAAGAAAGTAAGAGAGGGACGCTTTCTGGAAGGACATATTTAGGCAAAGGGGAAAAAAGCACCAACTACAGGCGTCACTAGGAACTTGAGCTAGAAGCCAGCCTTTGGAGCCAAGATTTACGTCGGTCCTCTGTGTCCCTCCCCTTCTGATAGTCTCAGTACAAAGCTTAAGGTGTAAGAAGCTCACAGCAAGTCTGTCCCTCTTGGGGCTGGGAAAGCTGGTTTGAATTTAGGCCAACTCTGAGAAGCCGTCCTCCTGCCAAGGCTGAGGGTGGTGGGCTTTGCCTATCAAAGCCAGGGTGGTTTTCTTTATAAAAACGCTCAGTCCCAGGACAAACTTGAGAGCAGGAATAAAGCTGGTGCTTTTCAATGGAGTCTTAAATGAAGATGAAAGAGACTAGTTATTGCTGCAAGTATGGTCATGTATGTAAGTCAGGGATCAAGCACAAAAATTGAAAGTATGCAGTTAGCTCTGGTGGCCAGTTGTTGTCTCTACTTTAGGAATCTGCTGATCCCGTGCCTTCTGTCTGCTGAGATAATGTACTGGAATACTCTGCAGAGACTTAATCAGGGATTCTTGCTTGGCAGCTAGAACACACTGCAAAGGTCATAACTGGCAAGGTGGGCCATCCTCAGGCACTTCCATTCGGGTCCAGCATCCTGACACATTTGTGTCCGTGAGCACATGGGATTAAATGGATGAACCACTGAGATTCATTGCCTCTAACATCAGATGACCAACCTTGAATTTAGCCCTATTTATTGCTAACAACTTCAGAATATTTTATTAAGTTTATTGAGTAATTTTTGTAGCTCTGGCTCTTGCTAGGGGCTTTGCGTATATTATCTCAATTATTCCCCACAGGAACTGGGGCGTTGGGTGGGATTATTTCCGGTTTGCAAGTGAGTAAATTGAGGGTAAGAGAATTTAAGTCATCTACCAGTAGGTAGCAAGTAGTAAGAAGTGGGGTTGAGATTCAACACCAGGTCTCTCGGATTCCAAAGGCCATGTACCTTGTAACACCACACTACTTTTGAAAAATAGGATCCCCCCTTTCTGATGTGCCAGCCCGATGGTCAGCCCTTGCCTCCCCTCACCCCAGGTCATGCTCTTCAGGCTGTTGAGCCAGTAAGTGACTGGTTTTAGAATAGCTGAAAGTTGTAAGTACGTTGCCACTCATTTTGATTTTAGCTAGTTGTTGAAGCTTCATTATTACCCAATTATATTTTTTAAAGGAATTTTTTAAAATACTTAAAGCTATAGGGGCACCTGGGTGGCGCAGCTGGTTAAGCATTCTACTCTTGGTTTCAGCTGAGGTCATGATCGTAGGGTCGTGAGATGGAGCCCCGCATCGGGCTCTGTGCTTAGTGGGGAGTATGCTTAAGACTCTCTTCCTATCCCTTTGCCCCCCACCCCAGCTGTTCTCTCTCTTTCTCTCTCAATTAAATAGATAAATCTTAAAAAAAAAAAATACTTAAAGCTATAGAGCAAAATGGAAAGCACCGTGATAGATAATAAGGAGACATTGGTTTCAATGCTGATGTTACCACGACTCAAAACAAGCTATGAGACCGGGATGCAGTCTTAATTTCTATGTGGCTCAGTTTCCCTCATTTGTGAAATGAACAAGTTAAAGTGTATGCTGGTAAGGCCTGTACCTGTTCTAAAAACATGGGCCGCTATGGCTTTGTTTTTGTATTTTGATATTTTAAAGTGGCTTCAGAGTACAAATATTTCTTAGATCTTAACTGCTTAAATGCAAATTAAGAGAAGTGGATAACATTGGGGCTTTCAGGATTTTTTTTAAAAGATATTAGTTCTTTGCCCTTCCAAGTAAGGCTGCATTTTCCATTGCATTTCCCAGTCCATCACTCCTACCAAAAGAAAAGCCTGTACGTTCTTAAATAATTCATATTGCAGCTCAGATTCCTTGAGGGTCTGGCAAGCTTTAATCTTGGATAAAATGATGTAAAATATTGCCAATAGCCAACCGCGGGTTGCCAACCCAAATATAAATCCCTCCTTGTTCAATATATGAATTTATAATATAAACTGTTTTAAATTATACCTGGTACAATTGAATAGACCTCAGACACTGTTGAGCAACTTTGAAAATAAGAAATTAGATGATATTATGGTCTAATTATTGAAAAATGTGCATACTTAAACAAAATTTTACTGCATCATTTTAGACCCAATAAAGAGAAGACTGGCCACGTGAGTGACTCAGGATCATCTGTCATCAAACATGGGCTCAATCCCGAGAAGGTCTTCATGCAGGTTCATTATTTAAAGGTAAGAGCATCTAAGCGACAGAAGTCAGTTGTTACGGGGCAACACTCTTTAGGTTATACATGTAAACATGTAAACATGGCCGGGGCAAAACAAAGAGACTATCCACACTGTAATGTCATATGACTGGGCAGGTATCTGAGAGTCCAATATTTAAAACACTTCATATCCCAAAAATGAGACATGAATCAGTTTCCCTGCCCTGTACTTCCCTTCTCTCTGCTTCATGTCGGTTTTGGAGAGCCAAATCTTAAAATTGCTGTTAGGTTCCAAGGAGAAGACAGGAGGTATAAGGAAGTATTTTACGTCGCAAAGGCTTTTCCTGCTAGCTGAGGGAGACAGCTGGGCCCCTCCTCGCTTTCGGTCCATGATGGACATTAGGCTTCATGTAAGCCGAGGAAAAACCAGATGGTGATACCATTAACAGAAGGGTTGAAAGCAAAGTAGCCATTCAGCCCAGGACAGGTCAGACAGAACATTCTCTATGTGCAGAAAGTGCTGGTGGGAAGTTAGAGTTGGCTACGTCGTAAGCAGCTTTCTCGTGAACCCATGATAGACATCTTTTTTTTTTTTTTCTTCCTTTCTTCTAGGGCTATTTCCTTCTCCGGTTCCTTGCCCAAAGACTTGGAGATGACACCTATTTTGCATTTTTAAGAAAATTTGTGCACACATTTCATGGGCAGTTGATTCTTTCCCAGGTAATTTATGAGTCGTCATGAGTCCATGGTATGTAATTGGAGGGAGTGTGACATGTGGGGACTAGGTTATGTGAGTATCAAAAAGTAGGGAAAAGATTTACAATTTAATGCAATAGGAAAAGTAGGGAGTTAATGAAGTGAACACAGGGAGGTGTTGTTTTGGGGAGGGTGATCTCACTATAGCTTTGGGACAGACTGTAACCCAAAGCTGTCCTGTGCACAGGGATGTGGATAGTTGCACCTTACGTGACCTTAAAAACAAAAACAACGCAATCCTGCTCTTCCCTTTACCTGGAATGATCTTTGCAAGGTTGGCTCCTTCTTATCCTTTTGTCTTAGCTTGAATACCACAATCTCAGAGTCGCCCCTGCTGAACATCTATGTACCCACCGTGTTATTCTTTGCCCTTTGCCCTTGTCATTGCCTTCATTGTCATTGCCATTATTCATAATTATATTGTCATTGGTGGATCCATTTGTTTTTTTCTATCTCCTCCATTCTGTGCATAAGCTCAACAAGGCCAGACCATGTTCTTTATCTCACCAGTACTAATATACAATCGGCACACCGTACATGCACCATATATATTCGATCAACAAATCGATTAATAACAAGATACACTGAAATATTCAGACAGCCTGGCCACCAAACTATCAGAGAGAGGCACTGTCAACTTATACTGGTGTTGGGCCAAGCTGCACATAGCAAGAAAGTTAGCAAAGAGGGAGAGGCTCTGAAAACAGTGCTCATAACTGACAGAGAATAGAGGATGCAGCCTTAACACCGATTGGTCCGATGGGTATTCTTGATATTTGACAGTGATGCTCATGCACAGTTTTGAAGTCACAGTGTCCACTGTGTTAGCTGTGATGTATGTGCGTGTACAACCAGAACACATACAGTGGGAGTAGCGTGAGTGTAACAAGATGAGATGACTGTTCCTTGCTCCTACGTTCTTTTTTTCTTTTGGTTGGAGGGAAAGGAGGGTCTTCCTAAACATATATTTGGAAAGGCATCTTGAAAATAGGCTCAGAAATCTTATATGCTTGGTGGACCGATTAGCCCAAACTCCCACTGCCTAAAACCACTGCGCACTGAGATACTGCAGTGTTAAATGAGCATGTTGCCCGTCCTGTGACTTCTGAGGTGCTGATGTCAACTTCCCGTGGAATGCTTAGTGCCTCCTCTACCAGGTCACTCAGGTTTTCTTTTATCTTTTCTGAACAACAGCTTTATTGGTTTTTCATGACAGCTTTATTGAGATATACCATATATATTCATATACCATGTACCATATGTATATTCATATACCATAAATTTCACCCTTTTAAAGGGTACAAATCAGTGGTTTCAGTATATGCACGAGGTTGTGCAACCCTCACCACTCTGCCATTTTCAGAATATTTTCATCAGCCTCACAAGGAGCCTCATACCCATTAGCCATCACCGCCCCACTCCCCCCGAACTCCAGCGCCAGGCAACCACTAACCTACCGTCTGTCTCGGTGGATTTGCCTCTTCTGGGTGTTCCACATAAATGGAGTCATAGAATACGTGGCCTTCCGTGCTGGATTCTCTCATGTAGCGCAGTGTTCTAGGTTCATGTGGTAGCACGGAGCAGCACTTCATTCCTTTCTTTATGTCAAGTTTTACTTTTTAAACTTTGGTAAAACATAAAAAAATTTACCTTTTTAACCACTGTAAAATGTATAGGTCAGCACATTGAGTACATTCACATTGTTGTGCAACTATCAGCACCAGGCATCTCTAGCATGTTTTAATCTTCCCAAATTGAGACTTGGATCCATTAAACAATAACTCCACCTTGTTTCCTTCTCCCCTGGCCCCTGGCAACCGTCACTCCAGTTTCTGTCTCTAGGAGTTTGACTGCTCTAGATACCTCATATAAGTGGAATCGTACAATATTTGTCCTTTTGTGACTGGCTTATTTCACCAAACGTAATGTCTTCAAGGTTCATCCATGATGCAGCACGTGTCAGAATTGCCTTCCTTTTTAAGACTAAATATTCCAGTCTTCTCTGCACTGGGAACAGCTCTCCTGCCACAGGCCCTCATCCCCTAAAAATGTCCGCCTGTGCAAAGTTCGTCTCCACCCCCTTCTTGGTCAGGAGCACCTCTTAGCTGTTGAGCTGATCACTGTCTGCAATGGCGCTAAAACCACCAGGAACACTGACAGATGAGAACCTCAGCTGCCTGGCAGCCCCACGTCCCCTGACCTCACTTATTTCCAGCCGCAGCTTCCAAACCAGTGCCATTTCAAGGGACATGCGCACAGCAGCCAAGTTCATTGGGGCTGGGGCTGCCACGGTAGGGGTGGCTGGCTCTGGGGCTGGAATTGGGACTGCGTTTGGGAGCCTCATCATTGGTTATGCCCGGAATCCCTCTCTGAAGCAACAGTTCTTCTCCTACGCCATTCTGGGCTTTGCCCTCTCGGAAGCCATGGGGCTCTTTTGCCTGATGGTGGCCTTTCTCATCCTCTTGGCTATGTGAAGGAGCCGTCTCCACCTCCCAAAGGTCTTTCTCCCGTGTCTTGTCTGCCCTGTATGTTCCTTTTCCTATACCTCCCCAAGCAGCCTGGGGAAAGTGGCTGGCTCAGGGTTTGACAGAGGGAAGATAAATAAATACTGTATTAATAAGAAAAGAAAGACTGAATATTTCATTGTCTGTATATGCCATATTTTGTTTATCCATTCATCCGTTGATGGATGCTTGGGTTATTTACGCATTCTGGCTCTTGTTGATAATGCTGCTATGAATATTAGTGTACAAATACCTGTATGAGTTCCTGCCTTCCTGTCTTTTAATTATATTTGAGGAACTGCTATACTGTTTTCCACAGTGGCTGTACCATTTCACATTCTCACCAGCAGTGCACAAGTGTTCCTATTTCTTCACATCCTTACCAACAGTTGTTCTGTTTTTTAAATAATAACCATCCTAGTGGGTGTGAAGTGGTATCTCACTGTGGTTTTAATTTGCATTTCTCTGATAGTTAATGATGTGGAGCATTTTTTTTAAGTAGGCTCCACACTCAACTCTTGAACTCATGACCCTGAGATCAAAGAGATGCATGTTCTACCGACCTACCGAGCCAGCCGGGTGCCCGGATGTTGAGCAGTTCTTCATGTGCTTATTGGCTCTTTCCTTTTTTATATCTTCTTTGGAGAAATGTCCATTTAGATTCTTTGCCAATTTTTTAATTGGGTTGTCTTTTATTTTTGAGTTGTAGGAGTACTTTATATATTACAGATTCAGGTCCCTTATCAAATATATGATTTGCAAATATTTTTTCTCATTTTATGGGTTATCTTTTCACTTTCTTGATAATGTCCTTTGTAGCACAAAAGTTTTTAGTTTTGATAAAGTTCAATTTATCTTTATCTTTGGTTGCTTATATATTAGCTATCATATGTAAGAAACCATTGCCTAATTGAAAGTTATGAAGATTTACTCCTGTTTTCTTCTAAGTGTTTTATAGCTTTAGCTCTTACATTTAGGTCTCTTATCCATTTGAGTTAATTTTTGTATATGGTGTGAGGTAGGGAATCTAACTCCATCCTTTTGCATGTGAATATTTAGTTGTCTTGTGACCATTTGTTGAAAGATTATTCTTTCCCTCCATTGAATTGTCTTGGCATCCTTGTTGAAAATCAGTTGACCTTAAATGTAAGAGTTTATTTCTGGACTATTAATTCTATTCCGTCAATCTCTATTTCTGCAAGTACCACAGTAAGTTTAGAAATTATTGCTTTTCAACTGAGACATACTTATTGTAAAAAAAAAAAAAAATTCCAGCAATTTGTAAAAGTACAAAGAAAATGTGAAATACTATTTAAAATCCCGCCACCTATAAATACCCATAATTAATATTAGGTGAACTTCATTCCAGAAATTACACTATTCTCTCTTTTTTTGTATGTTACATGATATGTATACATTCATGATATGTATGTATATGTGTACACACATATAAAGATACAAAGGTATATGTAGAAGTAATTTTATAAAGGTAGGATTATATGTGCTTTTTCATTAAGTGTTTTCAATTTTATTTTACTTGAATTTAACAAATGAAAAAGAAACTAAAGTGAATGCAAAGAACTTTCCTGAACTTTGGATAAATATAAGAGAGATCATTTCCTAAAAGATTCTTCCATAGTCAAGAAGGATGATTACAAAAAAAATCTTTGAGGTTGAAATTGTTATTTTTTTCCTCTTTAGCTATTTATTCCATTTTTAGAAAGCGTCAGTTTATTCACTTCTGTAAAAGCTGAGGAAATTAGCAGTTATGTACTTCTACTTTTCCCTCAATTCAAAATTTTTCATAATTAAATATTTTTATAGAGTCAAGCTTTATATCATTTGTTATATGTGCTATAACCATACTTTTCATAGTTTTATAGTCTTAGCTCTAGATTTAAAGGACTTCATTTTCACCACCAGTCACTTTGCCATGCTTTTATATTCATGAATGCCTTATTTTGATTCCATTTTTTGTTGGCTGAATTTTGTTATCAAATTGATGTTTAAGTTGCAGACTCACTGCTTCTGTGATTTTTGAGTTCTTATGTGCTTGAGAATGTTTGTTGCCTTTATATTTGAATCACAAACTGGCTGGATATAGTATTCTCCAGTCACATTTTCATTTTCTCAGAACTTTGTGGCTATTGCTTAACTGCCTTCTGATTAATAATGTAGAAACTTTTTTTTAAGATTGTATATATTTATTTGAGAGAGGGAGAGAGAAAAAGAGAGAGAGAGGGTGGGGGAGGGAGGATAAGAGGGAGAGGGGCAAGCAGACTCCATGCCTAACATGGAGCCCAACTTGGCGCTCGATCTCAAGACCCTGAGATCATGACCTGAGCCAAAATCAAGAGTCAGCCGCTTAAGGGACTCAGCCACCAGGTGCCCTGCTGTGGAAACTTTTGAAGTCAGCCTACTTTTTCCTCTTTATGCCACTCAGATGACAGAAGAATTCTTTCTTTGTCTTTGACATTTAGTAATTGACTCAGAAAATAGCTTGGTGTTATGAGTCTGCATCAGTTTTATTTTTCCTGCGAAGGAGTGTGCACTTCCAGTCTTACCTTCTGTCCTTCCTTCTTTCAGCGAAATTGTCTTAATTGTATGTTTGAACACATTCAGGTTTTTCTCCCTTGCGGGGTTCTGGATTTCAAGGTTGCCAGTTATCCTTGTGTTATATCATCTTTGTCCTCCATACCTTTCATTTTCTAATTGCTTTCATCTTTTTCTTCTTCATGGCATGTGTTTATCTCAAGTGACATTATTTTTATTATTAATGTTATAACATTATTATTAATTTTTTCTTTAATGTCTACATTTTTCTTACTTTTTTGTGTTATTAATTGTCATGTACTGGTATTATTTTGGTCCTTAATTTATTTTTTATTTTTTATTTTTATTTTTTTTTAAAGATTTATTTATTTATTTGACAGAGAGAGACACAGTGAGAGAGGGAACACAAGCAGGGGGAGTGGGAGAGGGAGAAGCAGGCTTCCCGCTGAGCAGGGAGCCTGATGCAGGGCTCGATCCCAGGACCCTGTGATCATGACCTGAGCCAAAGGCAGATGCTTAACGACTGAGCCACCCAGGTGCCTCTGTTTTGGTCCTTAATTTATTTCCTTTGCTTTGAAATCTCTCTTTTCATCTCATTTTGTTGTTTTATCATCTTGTTTCTGAGCTTTCATTTTACTGACTTTATGTTCTTATTATGATCTTTTGTTAATTTGTTTTATAGTGTAAAACATTCATAGAGAATTTTCTTCTGTTCCTTGCATTATGTTTTCTTCAAGACTGGATTCTTTGTCTTTTATCCTATGTTTCTTAGTTCTGCTCTCTCTTTATGTGGGTTTTGTTACATTAATTTGCATAGTTGCCATACTTTTCTTCTTGCTCATTCTCAGCATGCGTAGCCCTGTCCTGACCTATTATTTATTCTCATATGTATTGGAACATTATTCTTGATTTCTTTCCCAACTTGTCGGAGACATGTTTTCTTTCCCTCTGAGCTACAGTTTGAAGCTTGGATGTTCTGCATGGTGGAGCTTGAGGGGAAGAGCTCCACTGGGGCTGCATACAGCTTTTGTTGCAAGAATTTGGCTTCACGAACTCTTAAAATTATTTTAAATGTTCCAGCCAAGATTCTCTTTACCTGATTTGGGTGCATCTTTTTCCCCACTGCAGGTACTCTCTCAATCCATATTGTTCCTGCAGTTCAGTGTGGAGCTCTAGAAGCTCTACAGTTCATCAAAGAGCATCTTAGTTGTTTATTTCCCAGCTTTTGCTCATCTCTCTCCAGTAAACATTTCTAGTCCCTTAATGGTCAAAAAAAAAGAAAAAGAAAAAGAAAAAAGAAAGAAAGGAGGAAAGATAAAGATATTCCTGTTTCTTTCCAAATGTGTGGGTATTTGTGAGAATTTGCAGGGTTTGGGCAATTCACCAGTCCCACTACTGCTAAGCATGAGGTTGGGGGTGGTGCAGAGTGAGGGCTGGAGGCTCTGTTGGAATCTTATGTCTCTTTCCTTAGTTGTCTCCTTTTGAAGTTTATGCCACGAGGCCGTCCTTCTTTCCTTATTTGGATGCCTCTGGTGACATTTCTGCCCCCTCCTTTTTTTTTTAGTGGATTGGGTTTTTGTTTATATTGCTTGTTAGTGATGAGGAGGGCTGTGATCTAGTTTCTTTGCTCAGAAGTCCTTCAATTTCTTCTTTTTCCAGTTTGCTTCTTAATCTTTTCCCTTGTGAACACCCCACCCACCCAACATTTTGGTTTATCACCGTCCCAGTCCCCACTGCAGGTTAACAATGACTTCTTCCCAGACAATTCACGTCTCAGTTCTTATCTTGCCGACGTGGTCCTTGCTGAAATTATTTGGTTATTTATTTTGCCTCTCCTGCCCAACCCCCATGACCATGGTAATTATTCATAAAACATCTGAAAGAAATCACTAAATCTGTGCAATTATCAAGCCATTGCCAGTTTATCCCATAGAATCTATGTGTACCTGCTTTTTATTGAATATTTTTACCAGGACTAAAAAAATAATTACCAAATTAGCCATGTGCCAAAAATCAGCGTAGTTTTTTTTTTTAAATCATGCTTAATTTAATGTTGTTAGGTGTTGATGAAAATAACCTCTCTGGGACTGACCTGATTCACATATAGAATATTAGGAGAGGAGGAAATGAAAAAATTTTCTCAAGGAATGTATTTTTTGATTGGGGTGAAGGCTTGTAATAATTTCCAAGGATCCAGATAAAATTTTATCCTAGCCCACTGTCAGAACAGCAGGAGGCCTTTTTTGTTTTGTTTTTGTTTTTGTTTTTTGGGGTTTTTTTAATTGTCTTGTGTCCCTTTGGTTTTAATCTTTTTTCAGACATACTGTAGAGGTGAAAAACTGAGACTCTGGCATTTGATGCTAGCCAACTTTGTCTGTGATCAGCCTTGAAGGAAAGCCCTCCTTGTCCAGTTAAGATTTGTAAATTGCCTTTACAAAATTGCCAACATGCTGAAGGGAAGAGGAAAGATGGATGAAAGAACTGAAAAGAGGTGGTGAGGGAAGGAATAATCTTAGGAAGCATTTTTCTTTTTATGTTCTCCTGTTGTGGAGAGTGGGGAAAAGCTTCTATCATGAGTCCACTCCAGGGGTGTATGCCAGTTTACAAAAAGAACCAGGAAAACTAGCATGTCATGGTTAATGATTAGGTCATGAAAGGAGTAAGAAGGGCCAGCCAGTAGAGTTGAATCCACTAATAGCTGGTATAGCATTGGGGCCAAGACTCTCTTTGGATTGGATGGAGTCTAGACAGAACATCTAGAACCGTGAATGGGCATTCACATAGCCCATGGGAATACAGGCACCATGACTTAGAGATGCTTGAGGTGGTGGGGTTTTGTGATCCATTGTGATTCTTTAGACCTGTTGTCCCCAGCATTGGTTGAGAGCCTCCAGCGAGCTGCTGGGTGGCCTCCAGATCTCAGCCCTAAGGCAGGAGAGGCAGATGACCACCTACCAGGAGGCAGAACAAGGTTTCTTAAAAATGAAGCAAGGTTTCTTGGGGACCTCCTGTACTTATCCTATATTGACACAAAATTCTGGAACATTGTGCTCTGCATTTCTGTAAAGAAAGATCCAATTGTAATTGGAAAATGCAAAAGGGCAGAATTAAGGCTAACTCTGAATTTCCTGCTTCTCCTGCAATTCAGTTCTCCCCCTTGTCATTGAGTTAATGTCATCCCCCCCCATAAT